CTGCACAGCTACCCCTGGAGGGCCAACAAATTGAGGCCCTCGCTTCGATGACTAATGAACTGCTGACAAACGAAAGTGTCACAACACAGCGACAAATGAAGCGCATTAAATTAAAACGTTGCGCTCGAATTATTGTGACATAAAAATGCATTTAAATAAAAAACAAAGAAACAAGAAGGAATGCAAGTGGCAGGCAGGAAACATCAAAACAGAAGGAGCAGCTGTTACGCAATGTGGCAGCAACAGCAGAGTGGTAACCAGGAAGAGAGGATTGAATAGACTGCAGACCAAACTTAAACAAACCGCTGCAACCCGTAATTATATGATCAAGGGCAGCAATGCTCAACCGCAAATGATGCTGGTCTGGAATTAGCGAGCAGAGCCAGCCAGCCAGCCAATAATGTCATAACCATAGACATGCGTACGTACTACACACAATTTCTCGCATGCTGTATATGCATACATAGTCGTAAGTATGTATGTCTGTTCCCACATTGTGATCAGCCGCAGCAATTGCGAGGGGCTCGAATTAAGTGATGGATAAGCTTGCCTCGTGATAAAGTCAAAATAATAAAAAGTAATGTGAGAGTCTGCGCGTGCGTCTGCGGCAGAGCAGAGCAGAGCAAAAGGTCAACCATTTATTAAAACAAACGAAAAACGAAATTGAACCTTTTATGAGGGCGTGCAGCAGTCGAACGCGCTTGCCTGTCTGTCTGTCTGTCTGCCTGTCTGCCTGCCTGACTGCCCATATGCTGGATTTGTTTTAGAGTTTTAAAATTGGAAAAAGATAATGCACATACAACTATGAACCATAAACAAAACATGTGCCCGCAATGTGTGCACAAATGCCAAGCAATGAGAGTTCTGGAAACAGAAAAATGAAGAAATGCCCTCCGTTTTTGTGGCGATGCAGACAAATAGGGGATATGCCAGGATATTCCATAAGCCGACTGCTCAGACAGCAGTGTACATGGACTCTGTTTTTAATTATGACAACTGACATCACCTTGAGACGCCGACAAGGTGTTGAGACAGCAATCAATATTTATCACGCACATGCCACACATCCACACACACATTCAAATGTGAGGCGGCGAAGCAAAAAGCAATTATATGCTGATTTGCGGCTATCTCGGAATGGAATTTTAATGAGCGGAATTATGCCAAAGAGAATCGCAATACGCAATATAAGACTTGAGATTCCATCAATGCACAAACATCAAATCGCGACCGGTCGACCAACGAATCTCGACGCCCGGCAATGTAAATAAACAGTTTGTTATTTTTCGACAGTTCACGCTCCTTTTGTTTTCCTTTATGGCCATAAGAATGAAAATATCGAAATATTGTAACGCGCAATGAATACAAAATGTGCTTTGCTCTTGCTGTTGCTATTGTTGTTGTTGTTGTTGCGCTTGTTGTGGATGGCCAGGCGCTTCCCCCTTTGTTGCTATTTAAAAGCACGTTATGGCGATGGCGCTAATGCATATGAAATTTTGATAGCGGAAAACGCTTGAAAGTTTGATAGAATTTCCCCGAAGGGTCTTTTGTGCGAATTCTTGCATTGATCAATAAAAGTATGCAAAAGTATGGATATTGAAAAGTTGAGGACAGAAAATGAATATTGAAAAGTGTAAGTCTTTAATTTTGGCAATTAGCAACAAATATTCAGAAATTAGATGCAAAAGTACGAGCTATGGGAAACCCAAATAAGTTCTAAGCATGAGAATACAGAATTTAAAAATATTTACATTATAACATACTTACATGCATCCCTCCTTTTAAATATGACCTATTTATGTAGCTTCGTTACTGGTACCGAATAAATTCGTTGGCTTTGAATGCCATTATTGCCATGGTACAGTATTTATACTTTTTATCTTATATACACTTTATTCCACAGCTGTTTTCTTAATATATGCGTCTTATCTATTATCAATCTTTCGATATGCAGGGGTATAATCTAAATTTCTTAATTAATGAGTATTGATTTGAGAATCTAATTTTATTTAAACGCCTACAATTGTAGAATTTAGAGGGAGCTATGTAAATAAAATCAACAGAATATTATTTTTGCCATTATTTTGTTTTAAGATCCTACAGTATAATCTCACAGTTGACCGAAACGGAAAATAAAATACTTGTATATATTCCTTACAACTCAAAAACATCTTGTGTTGATTGACAATTCTACTTTACAGAAAGGTTTTTGTATTTTGGAGTCAATGGCGTATATGAAAGACCCATTTGGGGCGCACTCAGAGGTAATTTCGATATATGATTTTTGAAAGCCGATTGGCACTTAGTCTCTGGCGAGTTGTTAGGATTGTACTCATTTGTACAAACATTGTTGTTTAATCTTGTTCGGCTACAAAAAACATGGTCGCAGGCACAAATACAACTTGAATTCACAAAAAAAAGGAGGAAAGTAGCAATCGCAATCGAAGTAATCACACTGTTTCCGATTGAAACTTCCTTTTTTCAAATCGCAATCACAAATTACAGCACTCACCAAAAAGTAAAATCAGTAATCATTAAAGCTAATCACATATCGAAATTACCTGGTGAATACGTCTAATGTTACTAATAAATTTGCCAAGCATTTCGCATATACACGTATATGCTTTTGTCGGCGCATCCGAATCATCAGCAGCATCATTATTACCATTATCCCTTTTCCCGTTTTAAGTTTGCTGTCAGCCGCTCTTGGTTAATTAATTGCCCTCTTTTGAATTTGAAATTAAAGCTTCCTTCACTTCTGTTTAGCGCAGTTCAGGTCAGCTTAACGCTTTCCAAATTAACGCATGCCTCACTTAATTACAGTTATTTCACGCGCTATTCCCACCGACCCAGCAAAAAAATCCTCCCACCTATCTACCCATCTGCCCATCTGCCCTCCACCTCTCACATTCAGCAGTCAATGCATTTACGAATCGTCTGCAAACAATATTGCATGTTCCAATTCCAAAATGTTCCGTCGCCGCTCCTGGCGGGCCACATTCTTGCACCCCAGCTCAGAATTCTGTTTGCTGGTGTCGTGTGCGGTGCGTTTTGCGTTTTTCGTTTCTTATTGGAACTCAAGACGTAGCTTGAGTTTCTTGGGGTGTTTCGTAGTCGCAGACTCCCGATTGCGCGGACTTCTTCGGCCAGTTCTGTGTGTATGTGTGTGTGTGTGTGTGTGCGTCCGTGCATTTCGCACTTGACGTGCTCCCATTTCGCAGCCGTGATTCTTAGCTCTTATACATATTGTATTATATACATACATACATATATAAGTATATTTCTTTTTGGCATTGTTTTCTTGGTCGCATTGTTGAGCGGGTGTGAGTTAGTTTGTGTGTGTTTAAGTGTGTGTGTGTGTGTGATTACTTCATCATATGGCGCGCATTTTGCGTGCTTCCTTGCTGCAAGCCGAAGGGCCTGCTGGCGCGCTCCTGTCCTTTACCTTTCGTTGATTTTATGCTAAATTTACCAACTTTATGTGAACGTTTATTGTGTGCATAAATGTCGGTGCCAAAGCACGTGTTTGTGTGTGTGTGTGTGCGTGTGTGCAACATTAAATAACAGTATATTGTGGCAAATAAATTTCAGGCACTTTGTGTGCAGTCAAATGCAAATATGACTTTAAATGTTCTCGTCACTCAAGCAAATGTGATTTTATGAACGGCTGCACTTTTGAGCGATTCGATATCCGTAGTTAGAATAAAATTCTTCGCTTTAAGGAATAACATAAAGAGGATATGCTACCATTCTCAATTGGACTTGTCGAGCATGATATAAACTCAAATCATGTTACATAGAAATCGTCCAAGAACGCAATCATGGATGCTAAGTAAATTTTAGGAGTCAGCCAAAAGTGTAGCGGAAACTCATGAAAATACAGGATATTACACGAGCACAGATAAAGTTAAGCGGGCAGCTGGCGGGCACGGCGACGGCAGAACTGCGCCATCAGGACTGAGAGCGTGCATTCGAGTTGGCGCCGGCAATGGTAGCACTATAAGCGAAACGTAGGAAGTCAGTTTCATCTGCGGTTACCATGAAACGTACCAAAGAACAGGATGTGCGCCTATAAGGATATGCAAACATACACACCCACAGTTGAACGCTGGCAAACACATGTGAAGAATTTGCACAACATTTTCCATTTCCATTTTCTCAGTCAGGCTCTCAGAGCGCGTTAACCACTCAGAATTCCAATTGCAACTCTAACGGTTCACACAATGTTGCAGACACTTGCCTCTCGCGCACTCTCCCACTCTCTCATTCTCATTGTGTGCTTCGCTCAGTTGTTGTTGGTGGTGGAAACCAGCAGCGAGCTCGACAGTTTTTCATTGCATCTCAGGACTTTTCCAATATACATCGCGCTCATTGTTTCGATTGAGTTGCTCGTGACAGGACGTCGACGTCGGAAAGAACTGCTAGCTGCGTTAGCATAACGGTGCCGCCTGCCGCAGCGAGTGAAAGCAAAGGATATACACTCACACACTCGCATATACAGAGCAGGACTACTCTGGCTGTTTTATATAGGCGCAGAAGCCTAGCAGTGAAAAATTCTACATGGAGTTTCGTGCGCGATGTGTGTGTGTGTGCCGTGCGTTGTGCGTCCGTGTGTGTGTGTGTTAAATGGGCACAGTGAAAATTTTGTTTAATAAATTTCGAATGCAATTTTCTAACAAAACCTACGAAATAAATTCATAATTTGCCACACATCTTAGCCCAATCACCTAGCCAGCGGGTTATTTGGCAGTCCACAAAAGCCTTCAATTCAAAGTCACACGACAAAGTCCTAGCAAAAATATTATACATATAGAAAAGAAAAAGGTATATGCGTGTGTATGTGCCGCAGCAAGGCAAGTGGCCAAGTGGTGCAAAGTGTTGTGCTCTGAATCGAAACTAAACAAAAATCCACAAGAAACGTTTTCAATTTACCGCAGAAAGTGGCAGTCGAAATTACAAAAAAAAAAAAACAACAAAAAATTAAACACGCACTCACGAAAATCAATAATTTGGATTAGTAGCTGTATGTAGCTCGCCACCTTAATTTTTTGGTTGGCACTGGACGAGCAGTCAAAACAAAGTAAGCAACAAAGTGTATTAATTTAAGTAAAAATAGGCCGAGGTGGGCTGTGAAGGAATAACAACGCAATATAGATTAGACATTGAATGAGTAGGGATTTTTTTGGATCGGATTAAATGCTTTGGTCAATTCATAAACACATCAATTCAAGCTACAAATTGGCATGCGAAAAATGCTACAACAATTTCTACGCCTGCCTCCTTCGCATGTGTTCGCCTTTGTCTGTATGCGTATGTGTCTGTGTTTAGTTGTGCGTGTGTATGTGTTAGTGTAGCGCATTTGAGGTTAACACACCTTAGACATATACATACACACGCTGTGCCGCGCCGTACACATAGTCATATAGAGAGGCTGCTACTGCTCCTGTTCCTGCTGCTGCTCCTGCTCCTGCTCCGGCTACGGCTCCTTGCGTATAAAGCAGTCTTTTTTGCGCTCCCCACACAGCATGAAAAATCGATCGATTCCTACTGCTGGTGCTGGTGCTGGTGCTGCTGCTGCCTGCTAGACTCCACACATCCCGACTCTGCACTGCCAGTCTGGCACTAGAATTATGAAGCCCCACCCACCCACTCCACCCATCCATCCACTGCCTCGCTCTCCTCAGCCCTCCTCAGCACTGCTCACCCCTCCCCATCTCCCCCCATCTGCCCCGTCATTACCAAGCAGGCAACACAAAGCACCGACTGCTTATCAGCGGTAGAAAAACTCTCGTAGTACTCGTACTATGTTTTCTGCAAAGCATTTGGCAGCACTGTCTGCAAACCTTTTTACTACTTACGAGTACGGCTATTTGTCGGGGGATGACTTGTGACTTGTGCGCTCTGCGCAGCTCAGCTTGGTCGCGAAACTCGTGTTGGCTCTTGGCTTTTGCAGAACTTGGCTGGGAGCGAGCTCTCTTCTCTTCGCTGCAGTCTCAGTCTGTGCTCGCGCTCGCGCTCGCGCTCGCTCCGAATCCCTCTCCGAACCCCCTCCCATGTACTAAACGTGGCACTTGTCTTCCGTTCTTGTTTCCATTGTGCTTGTGTTCGTTTTTGGCTTCTCCTTTGCATGCCATTTCTTGCCGGTTTCTATTGTTTGCTTTCGTGTTTGCTTTATTGCGACGTCTCACTTGCATCGCATTTGGCCATGTGGGACAGAGAGCGTTTAAGTTTAATAGCTTTGCTGATTCGCAACTTATTTAAATTGGACTCTAATGGCTGGCCTCAGATACAATTTTTGGACTTTGAGCAAAAACAAAGACCTGCCTATTTATTTTATACATGCATTTGTTCGTATTATTAGGCGTAAATTGCTTATCAACATTTTCATTTTATTGAAAAACTTCAAAACTAATAACTATAATTTGGCAGTCAATAATAACAGCAAAAACAACAGCAACAATCATAATCATCTAGCAATTTGCCAGCAATAATGTAATCAGCAAATTGCGTCTACAGTCAGTTCACAAAAAAGGTGATGCCCAAAGCGTTCGAAGATGCTTCAAACGAAAAAATATATAAATCTACGTGCCAGTCTGAAAATAATAAAGCTCCGACTAGGGACAACAGCAAATTGAGCATTGTGGATCTGACCATGCCAGTGCACAGTGGTTAGAACGCTATCAAATATATACCATACCATAATACAATGATAAAGAACTTTAGAGGGTTTTTGAATAGTTTGGAATGTATTAGAATTATTCGGCTAACTCTCATCAGAATATATGTATATAAATATAGCTTTTATGTTGTTGGACAACTAAGCGACATTATAAATGGTTTGGTACTGATATGGCTGGCATTGAGTGATTTAGCTTCTCTTAGAGGGTACTACTCGTATATGGAAATTATGAAGAAGTTTATAGTTTTTTCCAATATTTTAGAATGTTTAAGAATTATTTGGCTAATTCCTATCAGAATATACTTAGACTTAGAGCTCCTCTTAGTCAGTACTATATAGCAATGATAAAGAACTTTATAGCCTTTTCGAATATTTTGGGATGATTCAGAATTACTCGGCTAACTCACATCAGAATATACATAGCTCCAGTTGGAGGGCCTATTAGAATATGGGTTGATAAGCTTTTCATACTATTCACTAAAAAGTGTGAAGGTATACCATTTCTCATTGTAATCCAATGCAAATCCAAATCCAAATTACGTGGGCAAGTTTTGTTTTGTTTTATTTTGCCAAATTCCTTTCTTAATGAAAAGAATATCAAGTTATTTACCCACTGTGCCTTCCTATACATACACATATTTTTTGGGCTTTGACAGCCCATCGATGTTATCGCTTTGGTCCGGGGCGGTGCAGGCAGATGCCGTCGCTGAGTCAACGCAACTGTGGGAACTTCTGGCAGCAAGAAGAGCTTGCCACCTCAGTCACTGGACGTCATACATACTCGACAGTATGTATATGGATCTATATGTCTCAAGCTGTTGCTTTTGCTGTGGCCGTTCTTTTTTAGTTACCGGCCGGCCAAGCCAAGTCAATATAATTGACTTATCGGCGTGGTGCGCTGCATTGTTTTGTCTACCTTTCGGTCAAAAGTAGAAGACGCTGGACCTTGCCTTTGTGGTTGTTGGTGTTGTTTTTAGTCTTTAGGCATTTAAAGTGTTACTGCAAGCCGCTGTGGTCTGGAGTTGTTGTGGTCTCTCCTGTCGCGGTTAGCGAGCACGCCACATAATAAAGCTCGCTGGCCTCGTATTTGACTTACTGCGGCTATTTGCAGGTTTGTTGCAACAAAAAAAAACTCATTCAGCCGCACAAAATAAAAACACGTGAAATATTGAGTTGCTTAAAAAGTATTGATTGGGTTTGGAATTTGGTCTGCGATTTCAGATTTGCGGTCACCAGAACTGAGAAAAAACTGCCGTTATGCAAACTCAATATACGAGTGTGTTCGTACTTGTATTATCAAAACAAAGCAAAAACCTTTCTTCCCTTTCTAGATATAATTTTCATCTCACTTTTTCTTTTCCTCGAACAATCAAAGACTATTGTGTGCCCTGAAAACATTCTCACTTGAATAGGGAAGTGGCGTTTCTGCTGTCGTTTTGGACTGGCTGGCCCCCACAGTGTTTTATGGCCCGGCGCGTCGTCTCTTCCATGAAATTGCCTTTATTAAATTTTTTGCTTATTTCTCTCGATTGCATCTTTAAATTGCTGCCACTCGACGAATTCACATACAATTTTCCACTCAAGCGACAAGTCAGCCGGCCATGGCAATTTGTTTGAACCCTAACCCAGCTCCTGCTTCAGCTTCAGCTCCAGCTCCAGCTCCACCTCAGCCTTTCTCTATGCCTCTGCCTATGGCCTGATCTTTGGCTCGTCTTTGGTGTCTGTCGTCGCACGTTTGGCGCATTCGTTGTGCTAGAAATGATATTGTAATTTACTTTTGTTTGTCCAGGCCCCATCTGCATTTGCAAACGGAATTCGTAAACAACAATATTGTGCCAGAAAATTAATTCAGGCTCGCACGTACTCTACATTCGTTCGTGTGTGGCTAGAACATGAGCATGTAAAACAGTGGAAATCCGTAATGATAGTTCATTCGAGAGAATTCTTACAGCTTTTCTTAACATCTTACTTCAGGAAAAAGTTGGAATCGACCATGAAATTATATTATTATATTCCCAACAACTGCCGCTAATGCACAGGACAACCAATTTTTTCTCTTTTCCTTTGTTTTTGGCTGTGAGTTAGAATTGGAACGACAAATGGTGCGTCCTTTACAAATGCATTTCAACATATCGGCAACAATTATTTAAATATTTAAGTTGTTGGGAGATCAGCTGGTTGCCGCTTTGTTTGGCTGGGCATTGAGATTGGGCCTGGCCAGTTGGTTTTCAAATAATGTAAATGGATCCTTAAAATACAAACACAATACTTGGGAAGATTCATGCAAAGTATAGTTCTACGTATAGGGATGCAAAAAGAATGATTAATTAATTATTAATTAATATTTTTACGAGAATGTAAATTTAAAGGAAGAAGAAGAAGCAGTGCGTAAAGATCCGAATCTCAGCTTAGCCTGCAAAGTGTAATGTAAACGATAGCTTTCAGTTCTCCTTTAAAAGAAATTCGAACAATTGATACTGTGTTTCATTTCTTGAACATATTTTGCATTTATTTTCAGTTAATTTTATTTCAGTCCCTTATCAACCACCGCAGCAGAGCGCTTAAGTCTGAAATTCCATGGGTGGTTTGTGCCATATTTAACGCCAATATATCGGTTGTTGCCTGACTCGGCGCCTGTCCGTTTCGCGGTCTTATGGCCGAGCACAGGCAGAACTGGCAGAGCGGCCTTTGCCTGCTCTGTGGTTTCTTTAAGCCGTCACATTGTTTGTCCAGCGAAGTGAAATGAACTGAACGCATTCATGAATGAATTTCTGACGAAGAAATCGGCGCACACACATGTGAGCAGCATGTGTGGTTAAGTTGCCAGTAGCCGTGCACGAGATGTTCTTGGGACTTTTGTGGCATTTTGTGAATTTCTTTTGAAATATATTCAGCCTTTGTTTGGTATGATACTGAATACAATTTTAATTTGCATGCTATGCTTAAAACGAAGCGATGCTTGCCATCAGCTTTCGCAGCTTCCGTTCCATCACACAAATGCAAATGAAGGCCTTTGGCACAGCCTCCAACTGGGCAACCACCCGCACTCTTTTTTTCCAATTTTCCGCAAGCATTATGCGCTACATTCCGTTACTAATTGACGACAATTAAAATTTATTAGCTGCCACAGCAATTAAATGCAACGCAACAGTGGAGTCTCCACTTCCCCCTCAATCCCCTATGCTGCTGTTTACGGTCCAAGCCAAAGGGGCACCCGCAAATGCGTGGCTGCTGGACCAACAAGATTTTAAAACTAAAAAAATAATACTGAAAACTGCTTCAAAATTACTCCGTTTACAAAAATTCGTTTGAGGCGAGAGCTTCTGTTCGACGATGGGATTGCTGCTGGTGGTCAGGGGCCCGGAGAGTGTGCGGGGCACTCCACAATCAATCAAACTCAA